GTATTTGTTGAAGTTGCATGTATTGGGCACTATTATTTTTTCTTCTGTTGGGTGATAGAGTTTAAACCAAGCTACATTTGCAAATTAAACCCAATTCTATTAGCAGGTAATAGAAACAAAACAATTGTCAATTTTTTTTAAGATTCATAATATACATGGCAAAAATATGCTCCAATTAACCCATATCACGAGATTTGTAGCATTACTCTATTACACAATGGCAAAAATTTGTAGTCCTAGTCTAAGCAAACACAAATCTGGTGAACAGTACTGTTTTTCTTATCCTGCTTCTTAGTCCGACATTACACCAAACGCTTCACTAAGTTAGTCCAGCTTAGTCCAGTCTAAGCCAGTCCAGCTTAGTCCCGGCAGCTAGTCCAGTCCGAGACAGTCCGACGCAACAAACGCACCCTCACATGTATATTTACAAGCTCCGGGTGGTCCTAGGATGACCTTTGTCCCAATGTACATCAGCCATGCTTAATACTAATGTTTTGTGGTAATTTTTTTTACTTCTAAGTGAGTGATTTTAATATCGTTTCTCGTGAATGACGTGTTCGATATCGATTATTTTTTAACCCCTTAATGTACATATATCATTGAATAATATATAAAAATAAATAAATAAATAATGATATAATTGGGTCTTCTTTATGTGCTTACGGTGCATGATTTAGTTAGTAGTAGCTGTAGGCAAACACCCTTAAGACCAGGGCTTCTCCGAGTTTGAGGGTCAAAACTCCATGATTAATTAGTGCTGTTTCAATTGCAATTAAAATAACCAAGTCTCCTGCACATCACATGCCAATATATTCTTTCCCACACGCCATGAACACAATGAATAAGGATTCATGAACTTGGTGCGAAGTCCTTCACGGCAACAAATAAATAAAAGAACAAATTGGTACAAATTAAACAAAAGACGGTGCATCAAGGAGTGGCTTACTTGCCATTCGCTGTATTTTTCTCACCAATCACCATCCTAAAATAGCGGTGAGTAACGTTACGATATTGATTGTCGTTAAATTAGTGATTTAATATTTTTACATCGACAAATTTTTTAATTTAAACTCCTTTTTTCATCACTTAAGAATGGTTAACAAAACTATTTCCCTTACTCTATTTGGAAATTTCAATATATATTTAAACACTTTAACAAATAGTACCTTATTCAAGCAGTTCTTGTGGTACAAGGAGACCTTTTCGTGCACAAGTCGTATATGAATTGGTACGGCCAGGTGCATGACGTATAAAATTCGTAACTTATAACACAAACGTTTAAGAGAAATTGTAATTCACCATATTACAATAATACATAATGTTTGCATAAGTCATGATTTCAAGTTATATTTTTTGGTACTGTTGAATCACACGATGTTGACTCAGAGGAAGATTGAAATATTTCTACGGATCTTTCCGGTTTTCAAAAAAAGTAAACTGTCATGGCTTCACTACCTACTAATTCCTTTTAAAGAAAAAAAGAAGCTATATTATAGAATTAATAACCAAATAATGATTGGATGATGTGCAAAGTTGATGTGAACATCCTTCCCTTAATATTTGTTTTATATTATAGTTTATTTTCCCACGTAACTAAAAGTCATAGTTGCATTATTGTTACCATAACCATTCCATCCTTCTTTTTTTATTCCTTAAATAAAAATATAATATAATACATCATCCTATTAAAAAAGGATAATGTATCACTTCATTCATTCTAATCTGTACATACATTAAATACAATGGGGAAGGGAAAACAAAAATAAATAATAATTTCTAAGACGTCGTATTTTATTCATACTATTACAAAATACATTAATAACTTTGGATCAGAAGCTGATCCAAATTTCAGTTGGATCAAATGATTGAGTTTACAAAGATATCTATATTTTTTTTTAATAAAAATGATAACCATATAGAAAAGAGGAATTTGCATACAAAAAGCTAAAATAAGCGAGCGGGTGCAACAAAAATTCACAATATTACAAGTATTTACTATTTAGTAGTATCACTTAGGGGCAAAGTTAAACAATGGCTCAGTGGGAGCACAACTAAGTAGTGGAGGATGCATGACTCTATTCTACAACAATAGTGCGCATCATCAAATCATCTTTTTTAATTTTTTTGGTGAGGCATTTCTTCGAGCACTTGGTCGACCCAACCATTTTGTGCTTAACGTACATGCTCCGTCCTTTAGTGTTCTTTTAATTGTGTCAATGTTGTTATAGGTTTTTTTTTTTTAATTATTATTATTAAGGGTAAGGGAGGTTTCAAAACTATTACAATAATATAGGGGAGTGAGAGTTTCGAACTAGAGACACATGGGTGAAAAGCCAACACCCTATTACACTAAAATGTTGTTATAGTCGATAAAATAAAGTTGTTTGACAAAAAAAATTAAAATAAAACAAAAAATTAAATTATATATATAGGATCAGAAGCTCCTATTTATAGAATGAATGGGAACAGAGGGTTAATGAGTCTTTTATTATTTTAAGAAAAACACACTAACTTCAAACTTTTTTTGAAAAAGAGATCATTTCGTTAAAAAAAATAATGGTTTTTTCATGAGTTGCCACAAACCAACTCGGATCTCCGCCTCATGATGGCCTGAGAGAGACTAAGGATCGAGTGATAGAGTTGAACAAAACAATGTAAATGTTGTTTAACTTTTGTTAAATTTATTTGTTTCACGAAGTATAAAGATTGAAGAAGCGATATTTTGAGAGTGATTTTGTCAAATTATGTAAAATTAATGGGCCTTAAAACGAAATGCTCACTCAATTAATGAGCCATATCTAGATACTCAAAATGTTTTGTTGGGCAATTACTTTTGTTCTTTCGACCATTAGAGCTAAACAAAACATTAAAGTGATTAGTTATTAGAAGGAAACACTAATTATTAGGCCATCTCCAACCGAAGGTCCCAGACGGCCAGATGGCCGAAAATAGCCTGAAAACCGTCTCCAACCGAGAGTTAGGCCATAGGGTTCGTGGGCCCACGGAATCTGAAAGGGCCAAAGGGCTGTTCAGAAATTCCAGCAATCCTGTCATATATAACCGATGGGAGTATATTTAATATAAATTTATTCATGTCGGTTATATCCGACATGAATTCTTAAACAAAAATTTGAATCCAACGGCTAGCTGACGCCAATTACCGTTAGATTCTTTTCTTTTCTTTTTGGGCCATTTTTTTTTTTAAATTCTTCTATAAATACCTAAACCATTCATTCACCATTCCTCACAAAATTTTCACCATTTCTACACCATTTCAATTCTCATATTTTCTTTCCTCTTTCAAAAATCTATCCTTCAATTTTTTCAATAATTTTCAAATGGCCTCGTCTGCAATGAAAGGTAGGGCTTGGAACTGAAAAGAAGATGAAGCTCTTTGCAAGGCTTATAGATGGGTGTCGAAAGATAATGTGAGGGGGAATTGTCAAACAAATGACGGTGTTTGGACTCGTGTGTCCAAAAAATACTTAATAGTTCTATGAAGGCACCACTCCACTAAATATCCGAAACCACGAGAGTTGTTCTTCAAAATGGAAGAAACATCTTTAGCCAAGTTTGAACAAATGACATCAAGCATTGTTAGCAGCTGTAAGTAGACATGAAAGTGGCACTAATTACTACGACGAAGTAAGTGTTTTCACAATTTATTTTAAATATTTAATTATATTACATTTAATTTCATAAATTAATTTCCTTTAATTTTTGTAATTATATTTTCTAGGTTCGTCAAGTGGAGAAATTGTATATGGAGAGTAGTTCGAAACCCCTTCAGTTTCAAAGTTGTTGGGAAATTTGTAAAGGGTGAGTGTTATTTGAAGATCCAGCTCAACATAGAGCTCCTACGCCGGTGTTCGGAACTGCATCCTTAGCTACAGATATGGATGAAGATGGATCTCCTACCATTCAACAAACAAGGGTAGAAAATCCGTCTTCGGGTGAAGGTTCCATACCTAGGGCTATGGGACGAAACAAGGCACGAAGGTTGAAGGAAAAAGGGCAAGGTAAATGATGATTACACCGCCCAACATGAAGTGGCGGCCTCATTGTGATTAATAGCGGAGCAAAATGCCCTTGAGGCGGAAGAAAGGAAGTGTAGGCATGAAGAACGGGCCAAACAAATACAAGAAGAGATGGATGATAAAAATATGGAAATGAAAACTTCGAATTACACTCCAATGAGTATGGCCTATTTTGATAGGAAAAAAAAAATTATGACTCGGCGGCAATTGTTTACCTCTAACTATACTCCTACAATGGCGGATGATGAAGATGATGTTGATTATGATATTAAATTTAAGTTAATGTTGTTTTTAAATTTAATTTGTAGTTTTTAAATTTAATTTGTCGTTTTTAAATTTAAGTTGTAGTTTTTAAATATAAATTGTAGTTTTTAAATTTAAGTTGTTTTTAAATTTAAGTTGTTGTAGTTTTTAAATTTAAATAATAAATTATGTTTGACTCTATGACCCTCGGTTGGAAACGATTTTTTGTGACAGGGCTAAAACGAGCCCTATGGCCTTTTGGCCCTCGGTTGGAGATGGAGGCAAATATGACCATGTACTGTTCATTAAAATATTAATATCTTGAAAGATCAGATGGCTAAAACGAGTTCTGGCCAGCCCTCAGTTGGAGATGGGCTTAGTGAGCACCCTAACCCCACGGGTAGGTAGCAACTCTCTTGTTTGGGCCTCCAACTTCCTTTGCTTTGTGGGTTTTTTTAGCCATCATCATGCACAAGAAATCCTAAACAAACTTCCCTTCCCAATTCCTTAACCATCCAAATCCGGTAACGAAAATGGGTAATCATATCCAAGTTGACAGTCGATTCTCACCACTCCATTTTAATGCAAACAGGAACAAAATTTCCACACAAATGCTCAAATTTCCCATCACAAAAAAAACTTGCATGCAACTAGAACGTCAAGAGCAGATATTTCGAACCAATCATATGCTACTATTGCTATGTGAAAATGTTAAAACAATGACACAGTAACGTCACAATTACATGTAAGTTTACCTCGTTCCCGACTAAAAACTTAGTTTAGTGACCCAAGTGGACAGTGGCCCCTACAATTAACAAAGACAGTGACCCATGTGTACTTGTGTATCACAATGCTTAAAGAAAAAGGGAAAGTGATGCATGAACATCTTTCACTTTTCACCCCAGCAAATAAATCATAAATTTAATTTTGAGATGAAATAAGTCATGAAATGAACCTTGACAAATGTATCATCAGCTATCAACAACTACTTGAAGCCTAAGAGCAAGCCAAATTTTCAGAGATATAAACAACCACTTGGCAATCTGTTTTAAGCCCCTATTAACCTAATAAACTTGAAACTTCACAATTCTTTGTTTCTATGTACACAATAGACATGGAAATGCAAACGTCAAATGCAATGAGTTATGATGGTAAATTAGAGGATATAGAGCATTAGGGTGTGGCCGGGAAAGCCGGCGATATCGATGAACTCTATCTGAGATCAATATCGACCAGCTCTGGCTTTCCCCTTTCGGTCTGGTTGGCAACCAGTTCAATGCCTAGTTGCCCTTTGTCTCCCGCTCCAAATGCGTATAGCTTCCCTGACTCGGTGAGTGCAAAAGTGTGGGCGTTCCAGTATATGGAGTTGGTGAGGCTGATCTGTACAACCCGCTCGTTCACTTGCTTCAGTGATGTCACTAGCTCTGGTGCCAACACATTTGCATGCCTATTTCCCTGTAAGACACGCAACACACGAACGAGATTCAGAAACTTTGTTAGACTGGACGGCCTTTCATCCTATGCAATGCCCCAAACTGGTGAAACCAAATAACCGTTCACATAATACAACTCTGCAACAAGAAGCTTCTGAGTTATATATCTACAAGGAAAACAGTGTCAAATATCTTTTAGGATGGTGAAGTCATTCTACAGATGTAAGATGATGTGCAGCATTTTGGTACCATTTTGGAACATGTAATTTGTGTTCACAAATTAATTTCATACTTCGACTTTCTGCAATGTGAGTTAAGGAAACCAACTAAATTAAGATATGAAATACGAAATACAGCAGAAATAAACAAGACCTGTCCATCGGCGGCAGTACTATGTCCAAGACTAGCTGATTCTCCGCAACCAAATGAGTACACATCACCGTCATCTGAGACCACAAAGGTTGTGTAATCCCCTGTAGCAACGTGCACCGCTTTCACCTGGCTCAATGCTTCCACAACCTTAGGAACTGATTCACATTCTTCATTCCCGTGACCCAAGCAGCCATAACGGCCCCAACCCCAAGTGCAGACGCGTCCATCCTGCCCCACCACAGCGGCATGCCAAGCACCAGCAGCAACCACCATCGGCTGAAGGTTCAAAACCTGAAATTGTTCAATAAGTCGGGGGAACTTCTCATCAGTTCTTAACCCATGTCCAAGCTTCCCTCCCAAGCCACAGCCAACAGAGTAAACTGACCTGAAAGGTATCGAGATCACACAAATGAGCAATGCTAATCTTCATATAAGATTTAATGCAAATACTACAATAACAAAAACTGTTTCAGGATGAAGACAGACAATCCTTACATGCCATTAGGTTGACAAGCCAGAGCAAGAAGGTAGCAGTATCCAGCTGCAATTTGCACCACAGGTACATTCTCAAGTGCTCCCAATAAAGGATGAGGCTCAACATCAGTTGGCTCAGTTTGGTGACCGAGTTTGGCATCGTTGCCCCAAGAAAATGTATACACCCTGCCCTCTCTTGACAACACAGCCGTGAAGAAATTTCCTATTGCAGCTTGTACCACAAATATGTCTTTCAAAGACTCAACCAACTGTGGAGTAGTAACCAGCTTCGATCCTTGAACCCCGTACTCAGTTTCGCCAAAAGAGTCCTTTCCAAAGGCATAAACTTTCCCCGCATCACTGATCAGCATTGTCCTGCCAGCCCCAGCAGCTGCGTGAATAATTCGAATGCCTTGCAGAGATCTGCAACACAATGGAGTTCCATTAACTTTTCGTTTAAGTCAACAATTTCTCTTTCCTTTTTCTTGCATTTTACAGAATCGGGTCAGAGGAGTGGTCAAGAGTTCGCAACCTGATTGGCTGAGGCCGGCATTCCTCTTCAGTTGTGCCATGTCCAAGCTGTCCTGAGCTGTTTGAGCCAAATGAGTAGACAGATCCTTTTGAAGTCACAGCAATGCTGTGACCGGGCCCTGCTATTGCCTGCGATTTCTCCCTTCGGAAACATGCCTCTCCAGCCAACAAAAACCTCAGAACAAGTTTCCATGAACCCCCACATCTTTGCTTCAATTCTTGACGCTGTTCGGCTGTCATTGGCTTAAATATAGCTCTTTTTTGGCACATGTCCAGAGCAGCAAGCTCCGATATGGACAATTCAAAGTCAGGAGCAAAGTGTGCAGGCTGCCTAAAAAAGGAACATGTTGCCTGCAACAAACACACAGCCAAATATAAACCAGCAGCATTATAAATTTGAAAACTTAAAATGCCGCTGCATTACCAAAATAGAGAAAAATGTCACTTGCCTCTAACTTTGAAAGGTCTTGAGGATCCAAATTGCAGGCAGTAAGGACATGGAGGACAATGGAGGGGTTTGCAGCTAAAGGGAACTCTCCGGGGGTGGAGGTCCCGAAGCAATGGCGTTGCCGCCTTTCAAATGTTGGTACAGGAGTGGCAACAATAGTGGTAATTGGCTGGTCAGGAATGTTATGGTATTGTATAGTGGGGGTTCCGCTCGCAGTGGCATCCATTTGGCACTGCCAAAATTTCACAGTGGCCAAGCTTTGCAAAGTTCTAAATTGCTGAAAATTATGAAATATTGGGACAACAATTACTACATTACTCCTCTCAATTATCCAACATTACATTAGCATCTAAAGTTTCTAAAACTTCAATAAGTTCCTGCAAATTTTATTCACCGGAGAATCTACGCGGCGGTATCTACCTCGAAAATTATGTCATTGATCAACAACTTCAAGTCTCAAAACCTACAAATAGAAAGAAAAAAATACATACCTATAAAACCTCGTTATATGACAGCAAGTACAAGAACATAAAATGCAACAAGTTATCTCCAATAAACATGTCATGGCATCAAACATCTGCAAAATTCGACAAACCAGAAAAATTCACAACCCGATCATTTGATCACAGTTCGATCAGAACGAAAACCGAAAATTTTCGGACTTTCCGAATCAAGAGGAGTTAACAAAGAAACCCAAAACCTTAAAACAGTAAAACAAACTTGAGGAACACTAAAAGATGGAGACTTTGAAGGGAAGAATACCAGTCTTCTATGAATGGATATTCCAACCGGCAAAAGACATCCGAATAAAGGAAAGAATTTTGACATCAAAACATAAAATATAATCCAGGTAAACTCGTTTTTACTGACACGGGTCAGATTAACCCGATCAAAATTAACTTCCATATTTTTAATATAAATAACAGGGGCTGCAGATACAAGCAAACTTTTTTGCCAATAATTATCCAGAAAAATCAAAGCTTTTGACAAACCCAGATCAGAAAATCATCGGAGAAATCAAAACCATTCACAAAAACTTGATCAAACACCAAAAGTAATCGAAGAGACAAAGAATCCAGCAGAAACAGAACACAATCACATGCTCAACAAGCTTTGTCAATTCTACATTACGATCGACACAGATCGAGACCCAACAACTAGGAAACGAAGAATTACATATCGGAGCAACCCAAGATTCCTGAAAACCCATCATCAGCATCCGTCGACAAATTGGCAGAGAAATTGACGTTTTTTTCTCAGACAAAAACAGCAAAAATTGGATCAAATGAAAGAGCAGAGAAGTGGGGTTGTGATCAAAAGGCAGAGAGTGGGATGGGATATTTCTCAAAGGATTTTGAGAGATAAAAAGGAAGGGGAATTTTGGTTTTCGTTGTTTTTTTCAATGGGGGATTTCAGGAGGTGACTCTCTTCCCTTTTATCTCTCTTATGAGCTTTGGGTGGTGATGAAGCTTTTCTAGTTACTATAAATTTGTAGTATGCTCATTCCTACACGTCACCTTCTTCCTCTTGACTACGGAGATGGTAAAACTCCAACTAATTTAATCACCTCCTAATATCCTTATGGTTTTACGAAAACCAAGGTGAAAACTATCACGAACAAGATAGGAATCCTTTTTATAAATTTTTATAATTTAATTTTTATTTTTATTGAAATTATTTTAAAGTCCAGTCGGTTGCATTAGACACGAATGATGACAATTTAAAATTATTTGGTTCTTGTTTGAGATGTTTTGGAGTCAAATTAGTTGAGAGGGTACAGTATGTTTTCTCCCAAGTCCAAGATAATTAGGGCTGTAATTTTATCCTTTTTAATTGTAGTCTAGCATTACCACTTCACTTAATACGTAAGGTATCGCATAGATCCGCCCCGACTTGCCGGTCTAATATTCAATTGCTCATCCCTAATTACATGTGCATTGGAGGCGCTACAATTCATTTTTTCAGTAGCTATTCACAACTAACGCGTATAAAACGTTTGGTAAATGCGTGTTTTAAATTGAAACTTAATGTAAAGACACGGAATTCTTGGTAACGTTATTTGACTTAGCATTCTACATCACGGTCTTCCATTTCATTTTTTTTGAGGTAACATGGTATTTAACAAAGTGAATGCTAAGACATTTAGTTCAGGAAAACAAATTAAGATTTAGTTGACTGCAAAGGGGATATATAAGCATGGTAGTTAACAAAGTGAGAGCTGTAAGTTGTAACAAGCCAGGGTTTGTGTGTTTGCGGGGGGACCAGATCAAAAAGCTATAATGTTACTACTCGTGAAAGTTATTCTCCAACGCATGATTTGATTTGGCAATGTAAGAACTGTATAAAACCACGAGGCTAAAGGGTTGGCAAGGTCCATACGTACCTATGATATCTCACACTCAGAGCTTGCTTCATCTCCACTTTCGTTCTCTTTTTTGTTTCAATGAAAATCATGCAGTTTGCCCCGGTTTTGGAGATGAAAATCATGCAGTTTGCTACAGTATCGGAGATAAAACTTGCGTGCAATTAGGACGTTTAGGTAGTTAATAAGTTAAAACACATAACGAGGTATAATAAGTTTGACATACTGCTATTTTAATTTGCGGTTTAATTGCATATAAGTTTCTCTAATCAAGTAGACTATTCATAACAGTATAATCATATATACTTGAGTTCTACGGTTCCTTGAAACTAGTTGAACTCAAATAAAACTGGTCCCAATGCATTACGTCTTGGTGCTAATCTACCTAGCACATGACCCTCACCTGTGCTTCAATAATGAAGTAGTAATATATTACAAATTAAAAAAATATAAAAACACCTAACGGTATGTTTTGCACAAAAATATTTTAAAAATTCAATGGAAAAAAAAAAAAAAAAAAAACCTCTTTCTTTTGTTCACCTGTTCGTGCTCTAACTGACCATTAATGTAGAATCATTTCCACATTATAAAGTCAAATTTCTAAGTTATTAGGTTTGAAATGTTTTTTTTTTTAAGCGTAATGTTAGGAAGATGTTAGTGACACTTCAAACGTGTCCTTCCTCACTCATCATAAATATGTATTTTTTTTAAATATAAAAAATTAACAGTGCAGAATAACCTTTTGAGGGCATGAATAATATTAAGAACTTATACGTAAAATGTCCTATATGAAAGGACATAATTGAAGAGATCAACAATTCTAAAATACCTAAGATATTTTATATTTAGAAAGAAATCAAAGAATGAAAACTACAGCTTGCCCAGTTTGACAGAATTCTTTGTATTGAGTGTCATTACACCCCATATTTTCTGTCAAGGACTAGTGTAGCTGGTATAAATTATCTTCAAAATTGTAAATCGATTTATGAACATGAAGTTTCATCATAAAATTAATTGGCTATATAAAGAGTAATTCAACTTATAAGCCGATGCAAGATTACTCCTTCTATCAATGTGAGATTCATTATCAACACATACCCTCAAAGAAATTTTCAAATCAAACACGTAAAAAACACAAACGGGATAACGTGAAGCACGTGTGGTCTTTGGGCTTCACACGTAAGACAATTTGTTCTAATACCATAAAACAGTTGATATGGCACCGTAAAACTAATTAAAATAATATGGAAATTAAAATCAAAGTAATGAGCTTTGAAGAATTATCGAAACAATTGGGTGCTCTATTTGATTTATGAAATTAAGGGATGATCCAAAAACTTAAATTACAAGAATATGCTAATCGAATATTTTTTTTAAAGATAAAAGAGATGGTCCTTTTTTATTTTACTTCCTCAAAAGTTGTATAGAGTGAGGTTGAAATGATCTTCGTCGTCCGAAAGCTACGTGAATGGGATCTGTCGATCAACGAGGCAGGTGCTGGAGGGACACACATGCAATCGAGTTAGCTGTCGAAAATAGAAGGAAACATCAAACATAGGCCTTCATCATGCATGCAACCTGTATCGACGACACAAAAACCGTCTAGCATGTTCAAGACTTGCATAAAAATGGAACCCAATTTCCATCATGCAAAAAAGTTAAAAAGCTTAAAATCATAGTTTTTCCTTTTGATCTCCATTAATTAGTGTGCCAATTGTAATTATTAATATTATCTTTACATACAACGTTATTCTTTGTAATTGAAGTACTATGAGGGTGCGTTTGTTGCATTAGATTATCTCGGACTGGACTAGCTTTAGGGACTAAGCTGGACTGGCTTAGATTAGACTAAGCTAGATTAATTTAGTGAAGCGTTTGATGCAGTGTCGGACTAAAAAGCTGGACAATAACAAATATATTTTTAATTAATATTTTATATTATTTAATACATATTTAGTAATATTTTATTACTACCACTATCTTTTTTTTTTAGAAACCACCCATCCCCATTCCTGATTCTTTTCCACTAATCTTCCCATTTCTTTCCAAGTTTGCTCCGTCCCTCTCCCTCTGTTTCTTCCTCTTTCTTCTTCGCCCCTCTCTCTCTCTCTCCATCTTCATCTCCATCTTTTTCTTCCTATTTCTCTCTGCTCATCTCCCTCTTTTCTTCCTAATTTTTCTAGGACCCAATTGGCAAATCAGAACCCATTCAGAGTCTGGGTCATTTGGGTATTCATGGGTCTGCTTCTCCAGCGTCAATAGCAAAGGTCTGCGATCAGGGAGTCTGGACTAGGTGGAGTGTGAGCAGAGTTGCTGAGCGTTTCAGACGCACAACGATTTTGTATTTTTTTTCCGCTTTTTTGTTCTGAATTTTGGATTTGGATCTAGTTTTGAAAATGGAAATATTGCAGAAATTTTTGCCTTTTGTTTCCAATTTTGTGGGATCTGGGTTTGAAAATGGTAAATGATAGGGGCGAAGCAGGGCAGAGTTTGTATATGGGACCTAGGTTCCACATCTTGTGAGTAACAAGTTGATGGGAGGGCAAAGCGAGGAGGAACGAAGCAGGAGGAGTTGGGCTTAGCAATCCTACCTATTTCGGGGGTCTCGCTAAGACCCCCTAGTGAACTACTTAGTCCCGTTTAGTCAGGGCGAGTGTCATTAAAACTTGTCCCAATTTGTATCACACACGGGACTAGACTCCCACTTAGTCTAGTTCAGTCTAATGAATGCTAGTGAGTGCAAACAAACACACCCTGAAAGTCTATTTAATAACCTTTTTTTTTTTGTAGTGTTTGGTTCGGAGAGATGAAGACGAGTAAATGATGGATGATATGAAAGATGTAGAAAAAGCATATAAGGAAACACATAAAAAATAGCAACTAAAAACCAACATACCAAAAACAATTTTAAATTGTTTTCACTTTTCATTTTTTTATTTTCATTCCTTATTTCTTTTTCTTTTCCCTCTCTTCCATCATTCTTCTCCCTCTCTCATTTGTGCCATATACTTTCTTTGAATCTCAAGGATATCAAACTTAAATAAAAAAACTAAAAACAAAATAATTCTCATAAGAACCCTAATTTACTATTTTCTTTTCTAGTTTTTCCCTTTACCGAGTAGGTTTACACGGGACTTTCTCCTTCAAATCCCTTTGCATCCTTTTCAACATGAGATCATATATGTCACTGAAAATAAATGTGTTCTATTCCACAAACCCTTTTAGCTAACTCAATTAACATTTAAAACAGTCATTATCACTCTAAATAAATCATTATACGCACTATGTTATTACAAATAACTTATATTAACTACTTTCTAAAGCATATTTTTGTACAGTAATAATAAAAAAGTATATGTCATAAACTTACCAGGGCGAAGTCCATATATATATTTAGTAATATATTTCTGTAAATGGGACTTTAATAAGTCCCAAATAAATTTCCCTGTAACATATGATAATATTGATGTTGAAAAGGTTTAGGAAATCAGAGTGGCCAATAATTAAGTGTCTGATTATCTGAATACAATTCGGTAGATCAATATCGAAAACAAAGGTACTATGGATGCTTTTGAGGGGAAGATCCAAAACAATGGTGATGCAGGCATGGATCAGCTTCATCATCAACATCATTATTAGCAAGATTTCAATGTCGACACGAATTAAAAATGCATGCGGTAATTAGTATATTTATATATTTACATGACACTTGTGAAACAGACAGCCGCTGCTGCTGCACCATCTGTCGTTTTGTTAATGTACTCATCATTTGTTTAATATAATCATTTCATATTATTTTTCATGTCACCTTGTAGCTCGCTAGGGTTGCTGGATCTAAGGTGTAATATTTCTCTAAGATCCTTGCACGATTACGTTACGCACAAACTTGAAAACCATTGCTTGATGAGTGTGGTTAAAGTTGATCTGGCCAAAATTAAAAAAGTTTCTCACTGTTCTAACTTCTAAGAGATGATTTGTCATGTAAAATACTATATCATCAATAACATTTAACGCAATCAAATATATCAAAATATAATATAAAAAATTCATTTTTAATTGCACCCAAATCCTTTATAATAAAACTCAAAGATTTGTCGGATCTATA